AAATCTTTAAAAAAAAATAGTGGCCACTGATCTGTGGTCTTCCAAATTGTACATTCTACTGTTTCTGACCATCCTCTACACACCCCTGTGATGAGCTCCATCAGTCCAGGACAATTCAGATATGTTAATGAAGAGAAAACAGACTTGTAATGACACCAAGATCAGCTCTCATTTGTTAGAAGAAAAAGATTCAGAAGAATATTCATTAAATCCTTTATGAATGCACAGAAAATGCATTAAAAATAAAAAACAAACTAGCATGCCACAAGAACAGTTTTGATTGATCCACAAAATGTTAAAACTTAGGAAATTTCATCTGGTTTCTCTTGAAACCTCTGAAAAATCTACCAATGACAATAATCAGCTACAACTTTAGACTACATTGGTTTTCATTATACCACAGTTGCCACCATTCCTTATTCTCTTTTATCCTGTCCACTTAACTCTATTATATTACCATCCTGGCCTCTGCATGCATTCAAGTTTGAGACTCTTGTATTAAGATTTCCAAGAGATATTTACCAGGTACAGGGGTCTAAGGGAGAAGAGAAATGGTATCCATTCAACCTCAGCATCTATATATGGATCTAGACTATTTTGTAGAACAAACCAGGAACACAAAATGCCAGATACATTCCAAAATCCAACTGCCTCCATAATTCAGCAATTCTATCAAAGTTTATTCTATTTTTTAAGATTTATTTATGTATGCATACAAGAACTGGGGTACAAGCCAGAGTTGCAGGGTGTGAGAGGATTCACCACAGAGTGGGAAACAGAACAGGTGGACTGCCTGAAATATACTGCTGAAGAGAGCAGTGAGCACGACAGGAGAGGTCTGCTGCACCATGTGGGTCACCTCCCTGTGCCATAGTTCTGAGACTTAACCCCTTGCGCCACTAGAAAGGCCCCCTATATCTTTGATTTTAAACAGAATTTGGTATTTGTTTTTGGTACCAAATACTCAGAGATGCAAGTTGTTATTATCATCAGCCCAACTGGATCCCTCCAAGAGAATGGCAGTCATTAACAGTTTAACAATCATATGTGCTAGAATAACAGGAAATATGGAAAGGCAGATCATCTGTTACTGAGAAGCTACAAGAAAAGTTTCCCTAAGTACCTAATGATTTCTCCTTCAGATGCCCTCTCAGTCTTGAAGAGCAAGTTATTACAATGTATAAATGTAGAACTTGTGTAATAGAGAACCAGAAGGAAATCTAGGGGATGGGGAGAAAAGAAATACAGCTTCTCAGGTTGAAAAAAAAATAAAACCTCTAACAAGTACTAGCATTTGGGCATGCAAAGATAAGTATTTTACAGGATAATTTTCCTTTGCTGAGTTTCAGCAAGATTCTTGATATTTATAAATCCTATTCAAAACACCATGTTTAAACATGCATCTAATACATTCATTAATGACTAAAACACAAAAAGCAGTATTACTGATTTTAATGGCATATAAAAGGAGGCTAATGTACCAATTCTAAAAGATAGATTTTTCTAGATGATTTTAAAGGAAGACCCTGTTTCTCTATTTTATACTATTATGGATATGCATCAATTTTCTTAATTTTGTTGTGTTCACTTTTCATTATAGTGCAGCACGATGTTTTTATTTATTTATTTATTTTTAAGATTTATTTATTCATACAAGAACTGGTGTACAGGCCAGAGGTGTGGAGGTGAGAGGATTCACCAGAGACAGAGTGGTGAACAGAACAGGCAAACTGACTGAAATACACAGCTGAGGGGAGCAGCAGGCCAGTCAGGAGAGGTCTGCTGTGCCATGTGGGTCAGCTCCCTGGCTGGCTAGGGCTCGAACTCGTGCTGCAGTGGCTGCGGATAGCTTCATAGGTTGTGTCTTAACCAGGGAGGCTCCAGCATTATGTTTTTATTTAGAAAACAAGTAATACTCATGGTGTGTAATGTCTAAAAATTAAATAAAAATCTGGCCCATGTTTTGCCTGTGGCTATTTTACTGAGACCAATGGTTTACAGAATTCTTAAGTAATTATTTCCTCTGGGTAGAGACAAAGATATGGACTTTGTCAATATCTTTGACAAAAGCAAAACCAAATGTTATATAAAGCCATAGCACTTTCTAACCTATCTCTGTATTTCCAAAGTTCAATCCAGTCATAACTCTGTTCACAATGTCTTTCCTGTCCTCTAATCTGTATGTGTCTTAATTTAATATGCTAGATCGAATTTAAATCAAGATTTTAATAATACCACAAACAAACCCAAAGCAGCAAGGAACTTCCACTTTCCTGCTTGCAGGCCACCTTCTCACAAAACTTCTACTTTTTTCAGGTAGAAGGTCAAATGATGATGACACAGCCATACTGTCACTCAGTAAAGATAGCCTACCCTTAAAACAACTAAGACACTTATGAATATCCTGGGAATATAAATGAAACACTGTATTTTTCCCATTCATCTCATTAAGGTAAATTAGATGAACTTTTCAAAATTGATAAATGGAATGTAGTCAAGCAATAGTGTTAACTAAAGCAAGCATATCTGTTCTCAAGGTAATTTCTACCCAAATGAAAATTCCATCTTCTAAAGAGCATTATGATACCTTATCAAAAACGTTTCGGTATATGATATAGTATTCATCAGCAGGTCCTTCCTCATTGCAGCCCACTCTTTTAGTTTCTGTAATTATGTATCTTTGCATACTTTCCAAAAATTCCTTGTCACTTCTACTAATGATGGGAGGGAGGATGGCATGTTTATTTATTTCTTGGACTGACATGTCACATTTGTTCACCAGAAAAAAAGTTAAATCTTGTCCTGCTTTTTGCAAAAAGCCAAAACTTCAAAAAGCCTGAAAGAAAAAAAAAGACCATCAATTAAATACAAAAAAAATTATGTCAAATATGGATCTTAAAAAAATGCATATTTGTTTCATAAATAATCTGATATTTTCAATTTATGAATCAAAAGGTCTAAACTTCTGGAATAGAAATGCCAAACATCAGTCAATAATTAACTCCTCACATATGTATCATAAAATTTGAAGTCAATTGGATGAAAAAGTGTTTCAAAGTCATCAACTGTCAAATGTTGCTCACAGATCAAATGACTTTGATTTAGCAAGATGGAGGTGATTAGTGATAACACCTACTCCATATTAGAAAGCTGGGGCCAAAGTTTAATAGGAGTGAATTAGGTCCATGGAAGGGGAAGATTGGAGATAATGCTATATAGACAACTCAAGAAATGTTGTAAATGTGGCAGACTATAGCATGAATAGTATTCTAGTAAGAATGGATTCTTCATTAACTGTCAAAGTATGAGAGAGCCTAAGTTTGGAACTTTAATTAGCTTTGTATTACTAAAGAGTAAAAAGTGAGTCAAGAGTTTGACCTTAGGCTGATAGGGAGGCAGGGGCTTATGATACTAAGGAATTTGGATTTTTTTGGATGCAATAGTGAAGGTGAATTAGAAAGGAAGAAAGACTGGAGATAGATGAAGAGTTAATGAACTCTTCCAGGACAAAATTTAAAAGGTGTTAACAATGTAATACTACTCAGCAATCAAAAAAAGATAAACTCATGCCATTCGCAGAAACACGGATGGAGCTAGAAGGAATTATGCTAGTGAAATAAGTCAGAAGGAAAAAGAAAAATATAGGATGGTTTCACTTATAGGAGGAATATAGGGGAAACAAATAAGACATCAGGGGGGAAAATAGTAACAATACAAAACAGAATAAAACAAAAACAGACAATTATAAATCAGAGACATCCTCTAGGAGATGAGGAAGGCAGGGATCAGAGGCAGGGAGGGAGAGAAGGAGGGAGGAGCATAGGGGACTGTGATGATGGTGCACGGGAGCATTGGTGAAGGAAATTCTATGGGGATTACACCTGAGGAAGCAAACACATTGTTTAAAAATGAACAATGATGTAAAAAATATTTTTTAAAAAATAAATTTAAATAAATAAAAAGGGTGTTCATTTGGGGATGGGGTAGGTGGGGGGGATAGAGAGATAATTAGATAAGACATTAGGAGGGTACATACAAAAAGATTCCATGGTTTGTGCAGTGGACAGAAGCCAGAGAAAGAACCTACTTGCCTCTAACCAAGGGTCAGGAGGGCCCTACACAAACTCGCTCTTACGACCTAAATTCTACAAGCAGATAGCCCTTCTACAGTTTTCTTCCGTGTAGGACACACTCTAAATATGGAGACTCCTAAGATTGTCAACATATCAGGTTTTACACTAAGGAGTGAATACCAGGCCCAGAACGCTCCTCAGGCAGAGGAGCCATGGGTTTGAGAGCGGGTGGGGAGAAAAGGATAATGGACCCAAGGTTCTGAAGATTACCCTGTTTTTCTCTCTGCCTGGAGTTGGCCTTGGAAATTTCTCCCCCTGGTTGCCCACAGAGTGCCTGAGGGAAGATGCTGCTCCATCCTCACCCCTTACTGCTCAGGGAGTAGAAAAGGACGTTCGCAAGCCCGGCTCTCCGGCCTAAGCTTCCCAGCTGCGCCCTTCCCACCCGCTCTCGCCCTCCGCTCGCTTCGCCCCTCCCCCTCCTCACCTTAAGCCCTGACACCAAACAGACTCCAGCGCCGTGGGGAGTGACTAGCAACCAGGGAGGGGTGTGGAACTGCATCCTGGGACGAGTAGTTCTAGTGACAAGAAAGCAACTGGAAACTACAACTCCCAAGAGACACTGGTCCATTTCCTCTTCCCACCCCCCTCGAGGCTCCCCCTACGTCACCCTGTTTTAAAGACCCTCCTTCGCCGCGTCGGCTGTGTGGAGGAAACTCTTTTAAAATGGGCTAAGTTGTCTGAATCTACTCTTTCGAGAGCATTCCGAAGGCGAGGCTGCGGGGCGCCCTAAGCTCACGCCTGGCCCGGCATGTGGCTGGGCAGCCGCGGAGGCGCGTCAGGCGTCTGGCGCGGCCGCCTCAGGGGCGGAGCCCCGGCGGGAGACCCCGCGCGCCGCCCGGCGCTCTTCCTTTCCGCTGCGCCGGCCGTGGTGAGTGCGCGTGCCTGGGCCGCTCCGCCGCCCGCGCCCGTGGGCCCGCTCTGCCGCGTTCCCCGGCTGACCCGTGTCCTCCTTTCCCTCACCCTCAGGTGGACCCGCCACCAAGATGCAGATTTTCGTGAAAACTCTCACGGGGAAGACGATTACCCTCGAGGTGCGGACCGGGCGGCGTGAGGAGGCCCGGGCCTGAGCGGGCCGTGGGCGGCGCGGGGCGGCCTGCTGGGTGCCGTAGCCGCGTCCTCGCGTCTGGGATCCGAAGCCTGGCGCTGAGTTAGGGTGGTCTCCTGAGCGGGGACCGGGAACTGGCTTTCGATGGGCAGAGGCCGGGGTGGGCCCGGCAGGAGCCGGCGCCGGTGGCGGGAGGCTCGCACGTGGGGCCGGCCGCCCGCCCGGCTCGGGGAGACACTAGTGCTCGCGGTAGCAGCCCGGAGTTTGTCCACCGAGTGAGCGAGCGGCTCTCACGGGGTTTCGGTTCCGAAGAACCGTCGAGATAAATTATGGGTATATTTGTTTCTTAGTGTATTACTAAGTTTGCATTTTAAAACTCGTAGGTTGAACCCTCGGATACAATCGAAAATGTAAAGGCCAAGATCCAGGATAAGGAAGGCAAGTAATAATTTCTAGATCTGAAAGAAAAAAATTCTAGCGTCTCCAGCCTGCTTGCAGGCACTAGACCTACCTGCTCTGGTGGGTGAGGGGAAGGCAAGTTGACAAAATGAAATGCTTTTGCAATGACAGAAGTGACAAAAGATGATGCGCAAGGAACCAAGCTGAAGTCCATTTTACTCCAGTTGTGAGTTTGGTTAAGCTGCTTAGTTCCCCACACTAATTTCTTCTGCAAGATAATTAACGTTAGTAGATATTTATTAAAATTAAATGAGGTTAAAAAGTGTAAACTTGTAAGTCCCTGCATAGCCTAGAGTAGGAACTCAGATAAAGATATGGTTCAAGATTATTGCTTTGTAAACCTTGAGTAAATATGCTTGTTCTGCTGTCATTTAGGTAGGTTTTTTTTTTTCCCCTCCACCAGGAATTCCTCCTGATCAGCAGAGACTAATCTTTGCTGGCAAACAACTGGAAGATGGACGAACTTTGTCTGACTACAACATTCAGAAGGTCTGTTGGAAAGAAAGAACAGCCCTTCAGATTTAGGAAATTTTACATAAAGCACAATAATGGGGACAGTGACAAGATTTCTGGGTGACATCTATGCTAACATTTGAGGGACATTGCTTTAGTTTTTCATTCTGGATTTTATAGATTGCATCCTCATGATGTGATTTAATCTCCGATAATCTAGCAGTTAAAAGATCAGCTAGTTTCACTGCCTTCCCCCTTCCTCTTATCTCTGGTATTGTGTACTACTTTTGCCTGATGCTGGTGGTCTGTTCTTGATGGAGTACTAGTGTTGATGAAATGAATTTAAGAGCCTGTTTTACTCTTTCATTAATAGGAGTCCACTCTTCATCTTGTCCTGAGACTGCGTGGTGGTGCTAAGAAAAGAAAGAAGAAGTCTTACACCACTCCCAAGAAAAATAAACATAAGAGAAAGAAGGTTAAGCTGGCTGTCCTGAAATATTATAAGGTGAGCTAGTTTAAATCAGGAGAAAACTGTTATTGAAAACTTAATTTTTGCGGTGACTGCTTGGCTTTTCTTAAGGAATAATTTGCCTCAACTGTCCAGTATTACCTGGCTTACATGAAGTGTTCTTGATATTTGAATTTTTTTTTTTTTGTAACATTGGTTTATAACATTGTGGTCTCAGGTATACATCATAATTTGACATCTGTCTGATACATACAGTTGACAATTTGAGTGAGTTTTACATATGGGGTTAACATTAACTGTTCTGAACTAAACCTCTGATTTTGTGGGGATTTTAATTTTTTTCTTATATTGTTGTCTTACATGGTTCTGCCACCATATCACCTGTGAACCATTGCCATATTCGCCTGTGGTCTTCCCATCCCTGTTTTGACCCCGCCCACCCTCCGCCCCCCTTTTGCTATATACCTCGGGTTTATGGTCAGCTTGCTAGTTTTGACTTTTTCTTGACCTTTTTGTTTTTGTTTGGTTTCTCTATATTCCACATAAGTGAGACTATCTGATACTTACTTTTCCTAGCATGATTACCCTTCCAGCTCCATCCATGTTGCCACAAGTGGCATGAATTTCTCTTGATAGCTGAGTAGTATTCTATTGTGTAAATATGCTACAGCTTTTTGTGGTCTATTTTGTTGTTTCCATATCTTGGCTATTGTAAATAGTGCTGCAATAAACATAGGAGTGTAGTACAGATTTCCTTTTGAATTAGTGTTTTTGTGTCCTTTGGGGTAGATTTCTAGGAGTGGAAAGGGTCGACCATCGGGTCAATCCATTTTTAGTGTTCTGAGGAACCTCCACATGGTAAAGTTCTGATTTTGAAATTAGGTCTTAATTCTAGTTAATTTACAACGTGGTTCTTTCAATAATGAGCAAAATGTCCCAAAACAGACACTTTTTTGTTGTAATTACAACAGAAGATTATGAGGTTTTGCAATGGTCTGGTTTATAAGCACTAAAAATTACCAGCATTGTATAGTTTAAAAAGTTAAATATTTTGAGTCACTAAGCCTTTAGAATATGTTGTAGAATTATCTTAACAGCAGGTTTGTACTTTTTTAGGTGGATGAGAATGGCAAAATCAGTCGCCTTCGTCGGGAGTGCCCATCCGATGAATGTGGTGCTGGAGTTTTTATGGCCAGCCACTTTGACAGACATTATTGTGGCAAATGTTGTCTGACCTATTGTTTCAACAAACCAGAAGACAAGTAATTGTGTATGGCTTCATAATAAATGACATTACAATTTAATGGCTGGGTTTTATTCCATTAATTGAAGGGTTGTATTTAAGCATCAAATTGACGATTTAACACCAGTTTTCTAGATAATAGGCCAATTTGTATTTTTTAACATTGTGAGCCAGATAATTGTTATGGGGTCTGTCCTGTGCATCATAGGAAAATGAACATAATCCCTGGTTGACACATTTCATGCCAGTAATAAACCACCCCACCCTGAGAAATCACTGACATGTGTGAACTAGTGTTAATTACTTCATACACAAGGGATTGAAATAAAGAGTGCTTAATTTAGTAATTCAAAATAACATTCTGTGTCCTGGAGTGATTAGGATGGAATGTTTGTAATCTAACACAAGGTGATACACTTCTTGTGTTACAGTGATAGAGGAAAATACTAGGCAATATTTGCCATATTGTGCCTCTGGGGCTCACTGCAGAGAGTGGATTGCTGCTCTTGATAACACTTTTTAAAGCATACAATTGATGTTTATTAAACTGATTATTACATTCAATGATAACACCAGTAACAATTCTCTTTACCAAACTGTTCTTTTTGTGCCGGGATTTCTAGTTGAAGGCATCCTTAAGTTTATCATTTCTGCAGCATTTTGACAGAGTACTCAACCACTATGACCAGTATTGTTAAATTCATACCCCCAATAAAGTAAAACATCTAGTCATTTACAATTTTAAAATCCTGGATCCCAAGATGTCTTGGTTAGAACTTCCTTTTCTTCATAACACACAATTTCATCTCCTATTTTAAATTCTATCTTTTCTTCATCCAAACTGAGACCACAGTCCATTCCAGTTTTGATGACTGAAACATCATCTTTATGGTGTTTCAGCGAGGTTAATGAACCTTAAAAAAAGACGAGGTTGATAAATTCAGCAAATGAGTACCCCACTATGTGTTGATGTCAAAAATTACACTAAAATGTTTTTAAGATTTTATAGTCCTGTAATGTTAAAAATGATGGGATGAAATGCATTCAAGGTCAAAGAAAAGCAGAGTTTGCTGGGAATAAGATTTGTAGATACTAAATCTCCCATTTTGAATGTAGACAAGCTGCTGAGGACAGAATTGTATTTGAGGACTTCTGTGAGATTTATCAGGATAAATGCTGAAGGCAAAAAGTCAGGATGGGAGTAAACAAGTACATCAAGTGTAGGAAATGCGTCTGGAAAGGTATCTTTGGACCAATTTACAAAATCAGATTCGGGAGACACAGGAGACATCAGAACTATTGATAGGAAGACCAATTCTGGCCTGAATAGGGAAATGGGAGTGAATAAGAGATTTCAGATGGTTACATGGTATCACTAGGTTTTGGTGATAGGAAACAAGTAGATTTTGATATTGCTTACCTTTCCAAATTACTTGTCTGTTACGGATTAATTTAAATTTTTTTTGTTTTTCTAACTGTCCCTTATGGACTCTGCAGCCAGCCACAGGAACTTTTTTCTTTCCTTCTGTTACAGAGAAGGTAGCTAGTATAGAGGCCTCACCTTTAAGAAAAAGAACATATAAGTATATAGCAAATGAGAATCAGATACACATAATTACGTTCTGCAGGTGAAAAATTTACATTTTTTTGGTGGACTAAAGGGCCCTAGAAGAGCTAACAGTTGATAGGACTAGTAGTATTACTGTCTGCCTCATGAAAATCTAGTTTTCATTTGTCCCTCAAAATATTTTCTTGAACAGATCATCTGTTGTTAGATTTATTTTTTAATACTATCAATGGTGATTTATATCCACTTAAGAGTACTAATTCTGCAACTCAGTTTAGTTTTTTTCACTGAAAATTAAATTCCAATAATGAAATGGTATGTACCAGTTTTCCTAGGGCTAGTGTGTTTTTTGACTTTTGCTAGTCCTAGAAAACCAAGTGACTTCCAGTTTTCTAAACTGCTCTTAGCATAAGAACCTAAAAATCTCTGTATGATATTTAGAGAAGTAAATCTGTGGACCAAAAATTCAGTGTAAGACAAATCCAAATTAAAGTACATTCTACAGGGACCTCCCTGTTGGCACGAGGGGTTAAGATGCAACCTATGAAGCTATTCGAGGCCACTGCAGCACGAGTTCAATCCCCAGCCAGCCAGAGAAGCTACTCACATCGCACAGCAGATTTCTCATCTCTCCCACTGCTCCCCTCAGCAGTATACTTCAGTCCATATGCCTGTTCTGTTCCCCACTCTGTCTCTGGTGAATCCTCTCACCCCCCGCACCTCTGGCCTGTACCCCAGTTCTTGTATGCATAAATAAATAAATCTTTAAAAAAAATAAAGTACATTCTACAATTCACTGGCCTATACACTTCAAAAATGTCAAAGTCAAAAGACAAGGACTGAAGAACTAAATGTAATTTATGCTGAGTTAAGGTAAAAGTACATACCAATGAAGTGCATTATTGGGAAACAATGGATAAAATTTGAATATGGAGGGCCTCCCTGGTGGTGCAAGGGGTTAAGTCTCAGCACTATGAAGCTGTCCCCACTGCAGCACAAGTTCAATCCCCAGGCAGGGAACTGGCCAACATGGCGCAGCAGACCTCACCTGTCTGCTCCCCTCAGCAGTGTATTCCCGTCGATCCGCCTGTTCTGCTCCCCACTCTGTCTCTGAATCTTCTCACCCCCCCGCCATACCTCTGGCCTACACCCAGATCTTGTATGCATACATAAATAAATTTAAAAAAAAATTGAATATGGACTGGAATATATAGATTAGTACTGTATGAATGTTAAAATTCCTGAGTTGTATTTGTTCTGTGGTTTTATAAGAGACCATCCTTGTGAGTAGGAAATACAAGCATTTAGTGGCAAATGGACACAATATGTCAAAATAGCCCAGAAAAAAAAATTGTTGTGTGGTTGGTGGGGGATAAAGACAAATGGAACAAAATGTGAGTGATGGAACCGGGTAAAGGCAATTTATATGGGAGGCAGTTCCTTATACCTTTCTTGTAATTTTTCTGGAAATTTATAATGATCAAAATAAAAAGTTAACAAAAAAAATCTGCACTTGGGAAGATGAAAGAACAGATAAAGGATTTAGCCCATTATAAATAATTTAGCCTTCAATTTGGATAATGGATATACTAGAAAGAGTATTTTTTGATTAATATTTAAATGTAAAATGAGTTTTCTTTTCATGGTGGATTTCTTTGCTAGCTCTAAGACAAAATTAATGGCTTCTTCCATGACATTGTTAATAATTTAATACCTTACATCCCACTCTTTGTATCATAATCACTTGTTTATATATAAACTTGTCTTAATTGCTTCTGTATCATCAGGCCCTTAGCACAAAGTGTTAGAAAGAGCAGGTTATTATAATACATATGAAGTTACACTGAATTCTCATCTACAATAGTCATTTTTTCTAAAATACAGGATATGTATTAGAATAATGAATATATTTCAAAAGTGAAATACATCTCTTAAACTTGCTTTCAAGTGTGGTTTTTAGCACCTAAGATATTAATGGTTATGGGTAACATTCAATAAAACCCACCTACTGGGTATTCCTCCATGGAGCTGGGCAATCTGCTGCTCAGTTCCTTTTGTAAATCTTCAATAAGACGGTAAATGATTTTGTGAAGTTTAATTTTTACTCCTTTTTTTGCAGCCAACTGCTGGATAACATTGCCTGCGTTTACATTGAAACCATATACAACACCTGGTAAACAGAAATGGAATCAATAAAAGTAGCACAAATATTCCATTAAACAATTTGTTTTCAAGCAGAAACTCAAATCTAAATTATTTTTATTTCGATTGGGGTCAAAATAAGGGGGGTGCAATTGTATGGGGAATATACAAATTAAAAAAATGTAAAAAATAAATAAGTTAAACATTAAAAAAGTATTTTTATTTACTTTTATATAAATTAAAAATAAGTATGGAAGATGAGAAATTCTTTTTGCCATGGAAACTAGTAAATTTGCAAATTAATGAAAGAATTCTCTAAATTCTAGTATGGTTCATTTAACAAGGAAAATTTCTTCATAATTTTAAATCCCCCATTTAAGAAATGTTATTTTAAGTGCTTATAACATACAAGGGAGTTAGATATTAAACAAAGTTATTTTTTACAAAAGAGAAATAAGAAACAAAAAATGATCAGGGCTGAAATATTACATTTTTTAAAGTAAAAATTTTTATTATTAAATTATGATCTTATTGTCTACAACTTTTACAGTATACTCTCATGTATTCAGTTGGCCAGAAGAAACTCAAAAGTCACTATTTAGGACCTCCCTGGTGGCCCGAGAGGTTAAGTCTTAGCACTATGAAGCTATCTGCTGCACCTGAGTTCAATCCCCCGCCAGGGAGCAAACCTACATGGAGCAGCAGACCTCTCCTGTCTCGCCCGCTGCTCCCCTCAGCAGTGTATTTCAGTCCATCTGCCTGTTCTGCTCCCTGCTCTGTCTCTGGTGAATCCTCTCACCCCCTGCATCTCTGGCCTGTACCCCAGCTCTTGTATGCATAAATAAATAAATCTTTAAAAAAAAAGTCATTATTTAATAGGTAAAGTTCAAGGATTATTTAAGAAATGAAAAAAGGTATAGATGTTGTCTCCCATCTCGCTCCTGCTCCCATGCAAGGTATTTTAATAAATCCAACTTTCCTGTTCTCCAAAAAAAAAAAAAGAAAAAAATGAAAGTTCCATGAACCTACCCATTTTGCCAAAGAACAAATATTGTATTTAACTATAAATACCTTGGGGAGAAATAAAGTAAAAGCAAAACTTTCTTGCCTTTTAACAAGTGAAAAAAATTAATGCAAATAGCTTAATCAAGAGAACTACCTCGTGATACTATCTATGCATTAAATTACAGCATGGTCCTAGACCAGTCAGTGTCAATAAAATGCTTTGAATTAACCAACATTATGAAAATACATTTTCAGTTCAATTCTAAACAAGTCAGGTCATGTGTATCTCCTTCCTAAATGATTCATTCATCACTTAGTATTGTGGTCTTTGCTAAAGTGGCAGTTGTGAGTCCCCTTTTTGTGTCATTAAGTGCAACTAATTAAAAACAGCCCACCTGCTTTCTAGGTATTTAAAGCTAAATGGAGCTTCTAATCGAGAAAGATGTGATTTGTAAAATTACCAATGAACAAAAATAGACAGCCAAAAGTAAAAGATGAATGAAATACTGACTAGGCTGGTTATGTATTAGAAACTTTCAAAAATTTATATAAAAGACAAAATAACTAACTTGGGAATGGTTGAGGTATTGAGGTGACAATAATGTCACCTTCAAGAAAAAAAATAAAGTAACATTACAGGGGCTTGAAACAGCTCTGCAAGGTTGCAATACAACAAGGAAAACTGAAAGTATGGCTACAATTTTGCACATACCATTTAGCCTCAGTTGCTAGCTGGAACTTGACTACAACAGGAAGGGTGATGCTGGTGGGGTATATATCAGATGTGACTAGCCAAGCAATAAAAGAAAGAAGCATATGGTTCATGGTGTGTTCTAGGAAACACAGTTTAAAAAATGGGAAATGCAATCCTTACCATGAAAAGTCTCAGCAAGGTTAACATCATTTTCACTAATATCACCCACACCAAAATGTACTAATTCTAGTTCGCATTCATGTGACGCGTCATAGGTATCCATAATATCCAAAATGGCCTCAACAGAACCATCAACATCACCTAAATGTAGAAAAAGTTTAAAATTACTGGTGTTAAGAGTTAAGCATTAACAAACACAAGGATGATAATAATCTACTTAAAGCCACATTAAGAAAGGCATTTTCCACTAAAACCACTTTTACTTAGTATGAGCATTAAAAAAAAACTATCTATTAAAGCATTATGAATCAAGTATAATGATTACAACATAATCAGCAAGAAAATGTTTACCACCAAATCTCCCTCAAAATACCAAAATAGTTTTGGCTTAAATCTAATGGCCCAAATTAATTGTGAGAATGAAGAAATATATATATTCCAAAACTGAGTTGTAAAATCTTCTCAAAATCACCTTTAATAATTATAGGAAGTACATTTAAATCTCTTTCTCCTTTCTCTTTTGGCTTTAAGGGTTTTTGCTCTTTTTTTTCTTGGTACTTTAAAAATGACCTCTCCTTCCAGTGCAAAGTGCCATACTTCTCACGGGCCTTCCGATGGGCATCTTGGTGTTCCTTTCGCTTTTCTTCTATTTTCTTCAGATCCTCTTTATTTTTCTCCTGTTCTTGCTCATACTTCCTCCAGTCAACAACTTCACGAGCTCTTGGCTTTATAGGGAAAAATGGTCATTAGCTAAATAGAAACTAATACCTGTTTGGTTAGAAGCTTTGTCTTTCCCTTCCACTAACTTAATTTATATATAAAACCACTAATTTTATAAGTTTGAGAAACATATATTATCTATAGAAATTAAATTTGACATACCTCAGATTCTACTTCAAGAATTTCATCTCCTGCAGAAGGGAGGTCTTTCCATCCTACAATTCCCACTGGCATGCTAGGACAGGCCTCACTGATTGTTTTTCCATTTTCATCAAACATTAATCGTACTTTTGCCCAACTCTTTCCAGCAATCAGAATAGAACCTTTTCTCAGTGTTCCTCTTTGAATTATAGCTGTAGTGACAGGCCTAAAATGAAAATTAAAAAATATATTCTTAGTGTCATAATCAGGATATAACTTTCTTAAGTAGAGCAAAAATATCCTTATGAGATTTAAAAAAACACAGGCTTATTTTCACCACTTCAAACACCTCAAGCATTTTTTCATAGTATAAAAACACTTTTTAATGCTAGCCAAAAGTTGAAAGCAATCCAAATGTCCATTAATGAAAGAATGGATAAAGAAAATGTAGCATACATGTAATATACTACTATGCAAGATTTAAAAAGGAAATTCTGTCACGTGCTACAATATGGATGAACCTCTAAAACATCATGCTAAGTAAAATAATCAAAAATGGCAACTACTGTACAATTTCACTCATATAAAGTATCTAAAGTAGTCAAAAATCATAGAAACAGAAAATAGAAAGACATTTTGGGGGATGGGGGGGCGGGCAACCCACTAACATTTGTTTTGCAAGATGAAAAAGTCCTAGGGGTCTGTTGCATAACAATCTGAATACCCATAATGCTATTACCAGACTGTACACTTAAAAATGGTTAAGTGGTAACTTTAATATTATATACCTTTTATCCCAATAAAACAAAAAAACATTTCTTGTAAGTTTATGGTAGTGGAAGTTTCAGAGAACTTAGTGTTCTGACAAAATCTTAATCCCCTTTCCATAACTAACTTTGCTAAGCAGTGAGAAGACCTCTTATGCTGAAAAGGAAGAAAATGAAAGAAGAGAACACTATTTCAAAGACCTTCTTATATATTAATGAGTATGAATTCAGAATTTTCTCAGTGCAATAACTGCTATTTCATTCCAATTTATGTTAGTCTATGAGAATTTTACTAATTCAACTAAGTCAGTGGGGCAAATAAACAATTTCAACTACTTAAGCCATCTGACTACTAAATGTATACAGACAGTTGGTATAGGCTACTGGTAATAATTGTATTTTTGTGTTCTGTGTGCTCATGCAAATATCATTCATGGGTTAAAAATAACATGCAATCAGGGCCTCCCTGGTGGCACAGAGGTTAAAGACGCATCACTATCAAGCTATCACTAGCCACTGCAGCATGAGTTCGATCCCCAGCCAAGGAGCTAACCCACATGTTGCAACAGACCTCTCCTGTCTTGCCCACTGCTCCCCTCAGCAGTGTATTTCAGTAGATCCACCTGTTCCGCACCCCACTCTGTCTCTGCTGAATCCTCTCATCCCACCATACCTCTGGTCAACACCCCAGTTCTTGTATGCATAAATAAATAAATAAATCATTTTTTCAAAAAAGACAAGCAATCAAAATAACACACTGTTATATAATGAACTCATAAAAACATGGAACAAAATTATTAAAAAGCAGACATTTTAACAGTCCTACCCTCTTCCTTTGTCTGTGAAAGATTCTATTACTGTTCCTTCCACTGGACCAGTGGGATCTGCTTTCAGTTCTAACATTTCTGCAAGAGCAATTATTGCCTCTGCCAAAGCCATCAGATTATCACCCTTTAACAACAAGAAAAATATACATTAATAAATATTACTTTCTTTGTAAATACCAGAATGAGAAAGCCTATTAATCCTTGACAGTAGCATTATATTTTTCTCTGGGAGAGAAGGAAAAAGGAGGGAGGGAGGGAAAGAAGGAAGGAGAGAGGGAAGGAGGGAGGGAGAAAACTTGATCCAAGGACAGATCTTACCAGGAAGAATGGGTACTTTCTTTTTTTTAAAGGATGGCTACTAGTGGTTCCTGTTAATACCCTTTTGACAAACACATGCTTCATTCATTCTCCTTCCTTGCATCTGTCTCTACAACTATGTTTTCTTTCTTTCACTTTTTTCACAATGCCACTTTACATTTGAAGTTCTAAGCCATTGAAAAAGCTTTCACATCTATTATTTCATTTGAGCCATTCAAGAATCCAGTAAAATAAGTAAATTAAGCATTACTTACTCTCAGATAAATAAGGAGAAAAAGCACTGACTATGCCTAGGTGCTAAGCCATACTCTTAACTACCTAAGCATGCAACTATGCATAATCACTTCACAGCTCTGGATCTGCATTCCTCAACCACAAAATGAAGGATCTAGACTAGACGATTCCTTCACCTCAAAGGATATATTTATTATGCTTCCTCGGGCTCCAGTGACATAGCTGATGACAGAACCAGAACTGATAGGCAAGGGATTTTTCCATTCCACTGTCAGCTAAGAAACTCCTCACATTTGTTACAGAGTTTACAATAACAAAGACTACTGTAAACAAAACTGCTACTTTACCTACCCTTCTTCTTAGGTCTACTATTTATTCCAATTTACAAAATGCTGCTCAGAAATGCAGAGTTGGTTTTGTCTCTTTGCATGAAGTAGTCATTTACCTCTACTTTGGAAAAGGTCTCATCTTCTCTTGCCACTCTCCCAGGTCCCTATATTCTCTGCCATGCCTCCAAATTTGCCTAAACAGTTTCCTATTTACTATTCATTTGATGGTATCTGAGTAGAAAAGGTGGTCCCATCTTCAAATGTTTTAATATTTAACCTTTAATATTGCTTTCAGAGTATAATCAATGCGTAATAGAAGATTAAGAGGGCATTTTACAAGTTTCACAGAAAAAGAAGCATGGCTTCACAAATAAAGAGGCATGATTTCTAAGCATCTTGGAAATAACAAATTTAAGAAAAGATAAAATGAGACTTAATTGGAGGCAGTAAACAAATATAATACCATCGCTTCAATGACTAGTTGGAAAAAATTCCGTATTTTGAGAAAACAATGGAATATGGTAAGGATGGCTAAAAAATAGGCCTCCCCTGGTGGCGCAGTGGTTGAGCGCTGGGCTGCGAAGCTGCCCGCAGCCTCAGCAGCGCCGGTTCGATCCCCGACCACTGGCGAGGGTCCCACATGGTGCGCAGTCCTCTCCTGCTGTGCCCACTGCTCCCCTCAGCAGTGTACTTCGTCAGTCTGCCTGTTCTGTTCCCTGCTCTGGCTCTGGTGAATTCTCTCACCCTCCCACGCTTCTGACTATACCCTGGTTCTTGTATAAATAAATAAATCTTTAAAAAAAAAAAAAAGGATGGCTAAAAAAAGGAAACTTACTGAGCTTGCGTTTTTTAAACAGAAAAAAATTGGTAATTTACATCATAAAATTTATAGCAATTTAATTATAGAAATATTGATTTACTCAATAACAAATTGAACCCAAATGACTCTATGTATTAGTGAAATTTTTGTTTAAATCTCTCTCAAATGCCTTAAGACACATTCTATAATTTTTTTCTATAAATGGCATGAAATATAAGGATTTTTTACTTACAATTAAATTTCCCTTCTGCTTAAAGCTGTCTATTACCATATCTACATATGATTCAGGATTTTCTCTTTCATTCTATCTCATAAGAAAAGCATTACAGGGGCTTCCCTGGTGGCGCAAGGGGTTAAGTCTCAGCACTATGAAACTATTGGCAGCCACTAAAGCACAAGTTCGATCCCCAGCCAGGGAGATGACCCACATGGCGCAGCAGATCTCTCCTGTCTCGTATGCGGCTCCCCTCAGCAGTATATTTCTCTAGATCTGCTGTTCTGCTCCCCACTCTGTCTCTGGTGAATACTCTTCCACCCTTCCCTCCTCCCCACCACACGACTGGCCTACACCCCAGCTCTTGTATGCATAAGGTTTAGGCCCAATTACCCACTAGTTGGCTATATAACCCTGGTTTGAAGACTGGACCTAATTTCTAGTCTGCCAAGCCAGGATAGTGGCATCAGCATTACCTCATACACAGAGAACTAAAAAGTAGAAATTATGTATGTCAAAACAGCATTTACATCTGAACATACTCATCTCTGAGGAGCCTGAATTTACCGTAAGCGCAGAGACAGGCACTGCTTGGACATCACCTCCATAGTCCTCACAAACCACATCATAGGCTAGCAGTTCTTTTTTTACTTTTTCAGGATCAGCCTCAGCTTTGTCACATTTATTTATGGCAAGGACAATAGGAACTGCAAGAGACAGAGTTAAGAGTGTAGATGATGACAACTTTAATTCCACAGTGAAAGATACAAATATTTTCTGACTTTCTCTTTACTCAATGGATGTACTTACTGGGTTTACTTACTGTAAAACCATTTTAGGCCCACCTTATTTTTTGCTCTCTAAAAAGGATTCCAGAAGCCAGATGTCCAAGTCTTTTTTTGTAATTATAAGCTGATTATGTATTAAAAATAAACAGCTAAGATAAAAAGATGAAATAGTATTTTGGGTAGCAGGACACCTAACCCTAAACCTGAAAGCAAGGTCAGCAACTACACTGGAGATAATCTCCAGAAAAAAATCAGAGGAGTCAAATTCAATTCTAATACCACTAGATTATTTGCCTTTTTTTGCAGGCGCACTTTGTGAAAACCCAACATGTCACCCAGGGGTGAAACTAAGTATCATTGTAAAATATCTTTCAGAATTTACAGAAACTCTTTTTTCATGTATTTAGTTTAGTGATTGACACATAGTACATTCTCAATGAATGTTTACTCAATGAACCAATTAATTTTATACTTTAATGGTTATTACTAAATATATACCCACCCTCTCATTAGAGATAGCACAAAATTCTAGGAGGTAATTGTCTGGTTAGGTTTCACCAATTCTTCAATTTTTTCAATTATCAATGGAATGGAAATTGAAAATAAAAACAAAAAAGCTATGCAATCCACAACCGACTATTATGAAACAGTACATCCCATATTTATGAGTTGGAAATTAACAGGAACCAGGAGAACAGCTATAGAAAGCATGATGCAAGGGATTTATCCCTCATATTTTGTTTTTATTTAAATCCCTAGAATAATTAGTCCCTTTTTCAAAAAGCAGATAAGAGAATTTGAAAGGAAAGTGAGTAACATTGGAAACTAAAAGACCAGATTCCAAATGTGGACATGCTGCAAATAATCCTAGCTGCCGGGGGTTCTTTCTCTCTGGGAGGTAGTTGTCATGTTATGACATGAAAGAACTAGATCAATGATGTTCAACTATTTTTTTTTTTCTGGTAAACAAACCTAGGAGAATATGATGCACTCTATCAAGTACATTTTTTCAAGACAACAGTATTTTCTCAGTGGATGTAGAATCATAAGAGTAAGAATGAGGGAGCCTCCCTGTTGGTACAAGGGTTAAGTTTCAGCACTAAGAAGCTATCAGCAGCTGCTGCAGCACGAGTTTGATCCCTGGCCAGGCAGTTGACCCACAGGGCGCAGCAAGACCTCTCCTGTTTTGCTAGCTACTCCCCTCAGCAGTGTATTGCAGTAGATCTGCCTGTTCTGCTCCCGACTCTGTCTCTGGTGAATCCTCTCACCCACTGCACCTCTGGCCTGTACCCCAGTACTTGTATGCATAAATAAATAAATCTTAAAAAAAGTTATATCTGCAGAATTACAAACCTAGTATCTTTGAGTCTCCTCTATAAAACAATCTGGGACTGTTATGAGCTACTTGTAAAAAGATCCTTAAAAATAAAGTTACTTCCTTCCTAGAACATATAAGTCAGCCACACAGTACCTTGAGCATCTTTTGCATGCTGAATAGATTCTATAGTTTGTTTCATTACACCATCATCTGCAGCTACAACCAATATGACAATGTCAGTGACCTGGGCACCTCTGGCTCTCATTGCTGAGAATGCAGCATGTCCCGGAGTATCAAGAAAGGTTATTTTTTCCCCAGAAGGCAGAGAGACTGTGAAAACAGAAATCCAAGAACACAAAATATTCAAACATGTAGTTCTATAATATGAAGGAATATATGTAACATTATCAAACAATAATTTTCTAAAATAATTTATTTCTTCCATTAATCTTAATCAGAATAATAATCATCATTTCATCATGAAAAGTGGTAAGTGGGAAATTTACAGTTTTCTTTACAAATAATAATTTCAAATTAAAATTCTTCATATTTCTAGGATATAACTATTCTCATAAATATACCAAAGGATATCTATTCTGGAGAACACACCAATAATTGTAAAGGCACCCACATTAGCAAATATCAGCTGCACAAAAGCTTTAAGCAACAAAGGCAATTCAGTATACCGTTAGCAGCTGAGATTTAAATCCCATAATGTTGGGTTTAAATCCTAGCTTTATCGCTTACTGGGTATAAGTGTACCTTGAGCAAGTTAATCGACTTGATCAAGCTTCAGCCTCCTCATCTGTAAAAAGTAACTATCTACTTGATAAAGGTGTTGTGAAGATAAAAAAAGATAAAGCAGGTAAGGTGCTTGGAACAGTGTTGGGCACAGAGTAGGTGCTCAGTAAATAATTATTTAATTATTATTAGTAACATTATTACAACCTAGCATTAAAGAATTTCAGGTTCACTAAACCAAACTAAGAATGGGCTAGAATAAGGAAGGTAATGTAATTTCTTCTTTCTATAATTTCTTCTTATAGAATGTACAAAAATAACCTTTATACCCCTATTCTCTACATTTCATCAAACCAGAGAGACTTGTGGAAACAGAAATCCAAGAAAACAAAATATTTGAAGCTTTTTACCTTCCATTTAACTTTGAATGAGTATTTCATATTACAACACTTTAAAAAAAAGAAGGGTTCCCAGGTATACTGTAAGATAATTTGTGTTCATACCAAGAAAGGCACCAATGTGCTGAGTGATGCCTCCAGCTTCCATTGCTGCCACTTGAGTTTTTCGCAGCTTGTCAAGTAATGTCGTTTTCCCATGATCAACATGCCCCATTATAGTAACAACAGGGGACCTTGGGGTTAACAAAGCCGGATCTGCCTGGGGCCTACAATTAATAGCAAAGGAGTTTCGTATCTTAAATATCAGAAACACTTTATACCCAGAAAACTGGTTTGCAGTTGTCACTGTGAGCTACCATTAACAATAAAACTCAATATTCAGCTTTTATTAGATAATTATTTTCCCCTTCTGAATGCATAATCACATGACAAAATATACAAGACTGCCCATCTATAATTCATCTCTCATAAGAACAAGCAGAACTGAACCAAATTTTAAAATTCAGGATCAATATACACACTTCACAAACTATTAACAGTTTTATAATAAATATCCTTTCTGATCCTTTAAACACACTGAAGAAAGGTATAACCTATATTCATACAACAGTTACACTGTAAAAGAAATTTTAAGGCAAATCTTTCCATTAAAATGTGTGAACAAAATTAGGTGGTCTCCCACCCCCAATATATATGATATAGTTTTACCTTTTTACAGCATCTTTATTTTCTCTGACTTTGTCCTCTTTTAATTTGCTCCATATTAACTTCATCCCTGCCTTCTTTATTACTTCTTTGATCCAGACTTCATCTAAATGTGAGTCTGCTTCTAGTGAGTCTATGTCAACCTTAGTATTCATTAAAGCTTCACATATATAATCTGGTTAGGATAAGATAAAACTTTTTAGTGCCATGAATTAAATGTTAAAGAAAGTGATCTCTATTAGAAAAATCTATTAAACTAGTATATTCAATGAGAGAAATATATACAGAAAATAATCTTTAAAATATGATCATTTATATCAACTGACATTTCTGCACATTCAGAAATATTTAAATACTTATTTACCTTCTGAAACATCAATAAAACACTAAACTGTATACTGTACACACATAGTATTGAGTAGTTTACTCTAGGCTAGTTCTTTGGTAATTTGTAGTTTGATGTCATGTACATACAAATTTTGTGTACATACAGTCAATTCCCACTATTTGCTATAGCAATGTTCTATAAATTCATTCAGAATACTGAATTAGCAAATACTGAATGACTGTTCTGAGGGAAAATGCAAAGTAAGTTCCTTCCGTTTTTGGCCACATTTTATCAATTGATAAATTTACACCTTATTTTCTGTGCGTCTTTTAAAAAGCCTTATTTAATACATATTGATTCACTAACTTAAACTCACAGCCAATAGCAGTATAACTAATGCTTGAACAAAGCGTATCTAACACATGTTTTTTCTCTGGAAGGCATATTATATCCTTTTTACAGCTGGTAATACTAAGTAGCTATGTTAAAGAGTCATTTTAAATAGCAAAAACGCAAAACAAAAAAAAGGGACACTAAATAAACCAAAAAAAAAAAATACAAGGACAAGTGTTGCCTTGTTCAATCTTAGTTAGGAATATGTGCAACTCAAAATTTTCATGACTTTCTGATGTCTGGAAGTGACTATATTGGTTTTGGGGCTACAATACATTTTAGAGAATATGTGAATTTGCCAATATGGAACTTCCAAATAATGAGGACAACAGTATACACACACACACAAAGAATATCTCAGAATACATGCAAGCACAATTAATTTATGTGTTTATCTTTTTAGAGTATCCAAAAGTCTTGAAACACAAGAAAAATATTCATGTGCAATTCTTTTTTTCATTTTATTTAATATGCTGTTTTTACTTCAGTCATTTTTCCCTGTGAATAACAAATGTATTTGTGATAGTGAAATAAGTAATTTTGTTTCTAGACTTTGAACTACCCTATAATTTATATTTCAAGAGACATATAAGTAAAAGCCATCATCAGGTAATCAAACATTAAAAGAACATTCTTTTCTGGGGCCTCCCCTGGTGGCGCAGCGGTTGAGTGCAGGGTTGCGAGGCTGCCCGCAGCCTCTGCAGCGCCAGTTCGATCCCTGGCCACAGCGAGGGTCCCACCAAAAAAAAAAAAAAAAAAAAGATTCTATTCTGTAGTATGCTGATAAATGTTTACTCACAAGTCTCTCCCCCCAAAAATCTGATTTATATAATGTCAATCAACTTCCATGGTACAAGTATTCCCACCAGAGCTGATTTCAAGCAACCATTAAGAAGTCACTAAACACATATAGGTATAATACGTATAAATAATCTCAAGGACATACATAATTATTATTTACACACAGTAAAATCATTAGGAAGTGAAGAGTTTTGATCTGTATTACCACTGTTTGTAATATTTTTTAATGGTTGCGTTAAATAACCAGTTCACATAATTCTTTATAAGTTCAACTGGCTAAATTGATACAAGTCAGTCCTATCACATAATAACGGAGAACACACATTTTAAGAATGAGAAAGTGGGGGCCTCCCTGGTGGCGCAAGGGGTTAAGACACAGCACTATGAAGCTATTCGCAGCCACTGCAGCACAAGTTGGATCCCTGGCCAGGGAGCTACCCACATGGTGCAGCAGATCTCTCCTGATTTGCCCACTGCTCCCCTCAGCAGTGTATTTCAGTACTTCTGCCTGTTCTGCTCCCCACTCTGTCTCTGGTGAATCCTCTGGCCCTGCCTGCACCTCTGGCCTATACCCCAGGTCTTATATGTATAAATATATAAAATACATCTTAAAAAAATTCTAGTTCTGCTATAATTTACAAAATAATAATTCTTGAGAGGTAATTGGGCTGTGGGTAAGTACATGTGCTCTGGAGCCATGCTAATTGGGTTCAAATCCTGGGTTCACATACTAGCTGTGAAATCAAGGGCAATTATTCATTTTTTTTATGTTTTAGTTTCTCAACCTAAGTGAGGAAAATTATCATACCTACTTCAACTATAATGAGAATTATATGATTAATATAAGTACTCAAATAACATTTCATTATAGGTTAATAGGAAAAAAAGAATCCCAGCTGACATTGAAGCTATGACATTATCAAGGACCTGGTTCCATTATACTTCACTTTCCTTAAAGTCACAGTTTCTAAGAACCTATAAGGATGTTAAGTGATGACTTAGTGTAACTATGAAGTATTAGTACATAGTAACATCTTAATAAATTGAGTTAATATTATCTTTTTCCAAATATCTGTTTCATGTCACTTTATTTTGCTATAATCACTTATTTATTACTGAATTTTAATGTCAATTTATATTGAAAATTCAAATTTTGCTTCAACAATCCTAAATTGGCAAAAAATATATCAACGGTACAGTAAAGAAATAAAAAAGACAATTATGATATACATTTATAAATATTAATACTATCATTAAAAGTTGTCTTTAAGGACCTCCCTGGTGGTGCAAGGGGTTGGGAGGCAACCTATGAAGCTGTCTGCAGCCACTGCAGCATGAGTTCGATCCCCGGCCAGGGAGCTACCCACATGGTGCAGCAGACCTCTCTGGGCTCACCTGCTGCTCCCCTCAGCAGTGTATTTCAGTCTATCTGCCTGATCTATTCCCAGTCTGACTCTGGTGGCTTCTCTCACCCCTACACCTCTGGCCTGTACCCCAGTTCTTGTAAGCATAAATAAATAAAGCTTTAAAAAAAGTTATCATTAAAAGTAGTTATTACTACAAATATTTTTGCAGCTGGCACTACAGATACTGTCAAAATGAGTGAAAAAAGAAATCAGAAAATTATAGAAAAACAAAGGCAAAATAAATGAGTATAAATATGACTCAGTTGAAAAGTACTCTTTGCACTTATTCTAATAACCCATAAAATTTCTGAGAAAAAAGATTAGTTCAGATGAAATTTTTTCTTTCATTAATAAAATCTCTGAAAATATTATTAGGCAAAGAGCCACAAAACTAGTCAGGGTTTATTATTTCAAGTGAACCATAATAGAACACCTTTATAAGTTGTCAGCCTGATTTTCACCCTTGAATGCCCTAGTCTCATTGCAAATAAAATGCCAGGTATTTTTTGTTCCCATATTTTTCCTTACAAAATTATTTATCTTACCTATGTCTTTTTCCATTGCTCTGGCCAGATCCTCAACAGTCATTCCAATCCACACCTCTACTTCCTTTTTAGATTTTGTTGAAGATAATTGAGATTTTCGTGACCTTTCTTCCTAATAAAATTTCAGAATACATAAAAAAGGAAGAAAAAACTTTAAGTTTTAAATTTAGATTTATTCTGGAATATCTATCATAACCATGCCTCCTAATTGCAACTAACACTGCCATAAGTAGTTAAACCTTAAAATTTTAAATTCTGTATCCTCAATTGACTGTTACTCACTGATTTCTAAGTAATAAAATTAATCAGCATTGATAAACAACTAACTAGACCTTATCTTCTTTACAAAGATTAGCACTGTACTGTAGCGTAGTATTAGGAATATAGATCTTATAAGTGACAAAATACTAAAAATAGATTTCTACTTATGGTTCCAGGCATTTTCATCTCAGACCAGATAACACAGTAACTGATAGAAATCTATAACTACCTTCTTTGTTACTAGAAGCCTATACTGAAATAAAGCAGTCCTGATGAGTGTGTATGTTTGCCAGGGCCAGGCATACAGCTGAGCCTGCCGCACTCGATAAGCAGTTGAAAGCACATGCCTCTGGTGTGCTAACATTCTTCTTTGAGCAGAGCTGTGAAGGTGCCTACAGACAGTGTGAAATCGAAGCAAGTTCTCCAACTTTAGTATCTTCTGGTTCATATTTCTCCTAGAGAAAAAGGTTTTAAAATAATATTTTGGTTAATATTGAAATAAAATTCATAAATATTAATAGGCTATCTACAATGTGCAAAAAAAAGTGTTAAAGTTAGAACAATGAGTAAAACTATGTTCCTGCCTTGAAGGAGTTCATAGTCTAATCAGAGAAATAGAATTTCACATTAAGTAGTCTCTAGATTTAAGCTACGGTTACTACTAATGTTCCCACTATGTTAGAACTGAAATACAATGTCAAACTTATAAGTTGCTCTATTTCTCCTCTTGAAACATCAGCTAACCAAATCACAAGTCACAACTAGGGTGATTTTCCTAAAATGCAAATTTGAACTTACCACCTTTGCTCCTTTCACCCTCCAGCAGCCTCTTAATATCCCATTTAACATACAACCTCAAAACATGCTATGTAAGCACTCATCTATCCTTCCTCACTTTTCCTTTTAGTATTATTTCCCCCTCACTCCTACCTTCCAAGTTTTTGAACTTTTGCATATGTGCTCTTTACCTGGAATTGTTCTTTCCTCAACATTTTTCCCTCTGCACAGGTCTCCCCCAGACCTCAATGCTTTAAGAGTGGGAAGAAAGCACCCAATACACAACTGTTAAAATAATGCCTTTTGAACATTATTCTTGGAATGAAAGGAACTTATTGAGAGAAAACTGCAACAGACCTCAGTAATAGAATTCAGAACCCAGCGGTATATTTCTTTTCTTCCTGGGTCTTTTATTTTCTTTGCTCTCAGGACTGTAGTCCTACAACTTTGCTTTTCAGCTTTTAATGGAACAACTAAAATAATACAAGGAGTTCATGTTTCTTCCTCAACAAACATTTCTAGAGCACCATAATCCAGGTAATGTGCTTGATGTTTTTACTCAACTTTAATAAGCCGAAGTTCCTTTCTTAGAGTCCACTGTCTTTAAAGTATTACAAAGTAATGTTTTTTTAATTTTATTTTATATATATTTTACATCGTTCTTCCTTTTTTTGTACAATGCATGCTTTCTCCTTTCAGGTGTACTCCCCGCAAAATTCCAGGAAGCTTGTTAGTTATTCCAAGCCTCTCATTTTACCGAGAAGGAAACTAGTCGACAGAGGTCAAAAAAAAAAAAAAAAAAAAACGTCTGAAATGTCATACCGCTAGTTACTGGCAGTCAGGACTAGAACTCAGGCTTTCTGACTCTCCATTCGATGTTCTTTCGTCTTTAAGATAGTCTTGTCATGAAATCTGAAAAAGGATGCTGGAAATGTGTAGTTGCATCGGTGGAAACATAAGGGTAAGAGGCGGAAACTTTGGAAATTATCTGAAGGGTAAAAAAGAAGTCATTGTAGAAAAATCACGAATTTGGAACGGTTTCACTTCGAACCCGAGCCGAGAAAACCGTGGGCACACGGGAGGCTGGGCGGTGGGCGCCTGCCCCCGCCGCAGGGCGCGGACACAGAAATCAGTGGGTCGCTTCGTTTTGAAAACCTTTTCGTTGTGCCGTAAGTGGCGTCATGCCGGGGTTAAATGCATCATGGAAAGACTTCCGAAGTGCAATGTTTATGACTTAGCTACTGCCGGTTAAGACCAAAAACTATACGCCTACCGGGCCGACCCGGACGCGGGGCCCCGCTCATTCAGCTCCTACCTAAAGGCTGCGGATCTGGCTTCTAAGGCTCAGCGCTCATCTCCTTCCCGCCGGGAGGGCTGTGGCTAAACCAGCCCGCTGCCCAAATGGCCCCGGCCAGCTTCCGCCGCCGCCGGAAGTGGTTCTTCACGGAAGTCCGTAGTCGAGATGGGGATTTTTGGTCGTCGCCGCCCGGGCTGTGACGTCCCTGGGCGGGTAGGTGCCCGCTCAACCTGCTGCCTTCTTTGGGAGTCAGCCACGCCTGGATGTTCTACCCCATCCCACTCCAGGAAATCAGCTACTGGCACTCTGGGACTATGACTCAAGGGAAAGTTAGACGAGGAATCCTGGGAGAAATGATATGTTTTGTTTTGTTTTATATCCAAAAGGGCAGGTTTCTTATAAAAAGGGGGGAAAGAGTAAAGGACACTTGCCTGTGCAAGCGAGCAGAAAGGGACAGGTTTGCGGAAAGAAACACCTGCGTAGTCACAGGTGGACCAAAGGGCTGCTGCCAGAAATTATTTGTTCTTAAAAGTCACATGCCTAACAAGAGAGGGGAAATGCAAGGAACAAGGCCAAGAACACAGGCGAGGAGAAGCTTGATTAGTATGTGAACTTGCCACTTGCGTAGACGAGGAGACATTAGGTAAACTCCTCTAGATCTGCATTAAGGTAGTGGTCATTTCATAGGATAGCAGTAAGATTTATGGGAGAACCTGGGTTGTGATTATTGCACAGGTCAATTTATTAAGTAGGAAACAATGAACTGGACAGATAGTTATTTTCTCCAACTGGCATGGTATGTCCTATTGAACATGGCCCCAATCTAAGGAAGAAATATTTATTCTTCATCCATGCTTCTTGAAAAAAGTCACCGTTGGTGACTGTTTAAAATTGGAATTTACTCCTCAGTATTCTGCTTCTGCCCTATGTTTGACAGTGTTATGCTTCCATTTTGACTGGTCCATTGATCACTGCTGTTGAGAAATCTTGGCAACTAATAGCCCCAGATGTATCTTTTCATTGCTTTCCCCCTGACTGTAGACAATACATCTGGCATCTTGGAACACACTGTCTAGATTTCTTCTGGTAAAACTGGGATTTTCCTAGTTAGCTGCTTATTTTAAAAATCCAATTTGTTGATTTACCTTTTTTTTTTTTTTTTTTTTTACAAAACTATATAATTTGGGGAGTAATTTTATGCCTCACTATGTGTACATGCTTCACTCACCCACCACCAAAGCTCTAGTGCCACTACATTGTCACAATTGACTCCCTCTACCTGTGTCTCTTTCCCCCCAAGAACAGTATTGCTTTTGTAGGTAATCTAGTACTGACATGTATGTTTAATAAATATTGCATTAAACATGGGTTAGGATCATTTTAAATAGTGATATTGTTATAGGGCAGCCCTGATACAAAATGGGTTGCCTGACTGTGGGTGCTCACCTGCGTGCTTAAAAAGACTTATCAATACTCTACTGCAGGCACACGCGAAAGGTTAATAAAAGGTTTATTTACAAGGGAAGGGCAAATGAGTAAATGTACAACTCAGGGAGAAAAGTGGGAGACAAAGTTTTAAATGCATCCTACCCGATCCGCCAATCTGGAATCCCAAATGGCACTCTGAGAGCTGGCTGCAAGCCAGGAGCTGTGAAGCCAGGAGGTGACCAAGAGAGCGAGCCCCCCCCCCCCCCAAGCCCACGTGTTTGGTTTTTACACCAACCCTGGCTGTTTAACTCCACCCTCAGGTCCCAGCCACCTTCCCTTTGGTGGTGATGGGATTTGTCTTTCCCAATGTCTTGATGGCTTTGGTCTGGAGTGGGGGTGGAGTCCACAAAGGCTGCATGGAATTAGCTCAGGACATCCTTTCCCCCTAACAATATGAGGTTCTTTCACCATAGATAAATTTAGCGCCATTTTATAATAAAATTCTTTAGTTTTAGACTCATTTGATGTAGGATACTCATTTAATCATAGGTAGACTAAAAATTAAGAGACCTTTAGATCAGAAGGAAAATGATAGTTTGGACTAGGGTGATGGAGGTAGTGAGAGTAATAGAATTTGAGAAATGAGCTGTGACCATATCTAGTGGGGTGTCAGAGGCAGGGAGGAAGGGATTCATGCCTTGCATAACTGATGGATGGCAAAGAGATTTCCAAGCCAGAACATCCTGTCTAAACAATATGCTGTCACAGCCAGTTTTCCCTCTTTCTGTACCTATTTTGTAGCTATCATGAAGTTCCTACCCATGGCTAATGTTTTCCTGCTTTTACGATGCATGATTTCTCATTTACAATCAGATTCTAATTCTTCCCCCTACTTATTGTCAGGGCACTGTGATTCGATTGGAGTATTTTTGAACATCTTCATATATTTAAGGACAATCATTTGGGATATGTCATTTTCAAATGGATGATCTTTGCTATTCTAATGATTTATCATTTCTTCTTAGAAGAAAAGTTAGTGATAAAAGTGAGCCCCACTGACTTGCCCTGGGACTCACCATCACTACTTATATGTCAAAGTAAATTGGAAATGAATTAATGAATTAAACATTCTAAAGAAAATAGAGTGAATATTCAGTCTATTGCTGGACATTAGTTTTCTAAACTAAGACCAGAATAACTTAAGGAGGAAATGAAAAATGAGTGACTTCTGACATAAAACCAGAAAAAGTTTTTTCTCATATGGAAAAAAATTAAAACGATTTGGAAGATATATTGTTATAGGACAGGGAGAGGGGCAGCCCAAACCCCGTCCACGACCAAAAGACAAGCGCAGTTTCTTCACGTGTCTCTCGGCTCCATGCGCCTCCTCCAGGTCTCCTTCTGGCTCCATCCTGCCACGACCAAAAGACAAGCGCAGTTTCTTCACGTGTCTCTCGGCTCCATGCGCCTCCTCCAGGTCTCCTTCTGGCTCCATCCTGCTTCCTTCCTCAGTCTCTTCTGCAGCTTCTCCTCTTCCTGCTCAGCTCCACCCTCCCTTGGGTGGGGCAGGGAACCTGGAACTTCCCCCTTTCCTGGGGACCACCCTGTTACAATCCCCCCTTTTAATTTTTATTCCACCATATCTATGGTGGCACAATCTCAGGGTGTAGTCTTAGGAGACAGTCTTTTTTAGGGTTACAATGTGTATAAGAGAAGCAACAATTAGTCAGCAGCATTGTCCATGAATGTTCAGGGAGAGGGGCAGCCCAAACCCCGCAAACCTGCCTATTCTAAATGGGCTCTGCCATCCGCCGCATCAACACAAAACATATGAGACCTTAATGGGAAGGAACTTTAATAAAACTAGGAAACAATACAGGTAAGGCAAAGAGTCTAGTTTCTAAATGAAGCACCCAAAATTACCCATCCCCTCGTGGGTAAAACTCCATCCAAATGGGATTGGCCCAGAACAAGGCCCCAAAGCCTGCCACAAGTCTAAAGCATCTTCCAGTGGGGACCCACAGAAAAGGGTCACAAACAACTGGACAAGCCCGGAAGGAAAAGAGCAAAATCAACATCAAGATAAAAGCTGCCATGGTCACCTCCCCACGGGTCTCACCCACATCTGTATCACCCAGTCCACGACCAAAAGACAAGCGCAGTTTCTTCACGTGTCTCTCGGCTCCATGCGCCTCCTCCAGGTCTCCTTCTGGCTCCATCCTGCTTCCTTCCTCAGTCTCTTCTGCAGCTTCTCCTCTTCCTGCTCAGCTCCACCCTCCCTTGGGTGGGGCAGGGAACCTGGAACTTCCCCCTTTCCTGGGGACCACCCTGTTACAATATGACATATAAAAAGGCACATACCTTGCAATAAAGAGCTGATATAAATCATTTATATATATAACATATATATCTTATGTTTTATTTGTATGTAACATTTTTTCAGTAACTGAGCCAAGAACTGAACAGAATTGATTTATAAATGAGAAAATAAAATAATAAAGATGGAAATATTCTCATTGATTCTTTCCCACTTGTTTATGTTTTCCTAACACCGGGCAATGTGATTTGCTGCTTTTGTTGTTGACCTAAGTGGGCAGCAGGGCTGTTGGCTCTATATTCAGAGATCAAAGAATTTTATGGAGTCTTTGAAAGGAAACAGTTCAACGGTTTTATGAGGTGGATAAAGCTACTTAGTTTTCAAATTTGTGAAGTCCTCTCCTCTTCCTGGGCAACTGTGCCCGTGTGATTTGATGCTTTCTGTGTCTTAAGAGGCTTCCTTCCCTCGATCTTCATTTGCACAACCGAAATGACTTAAATTCATTCATACGAGACACACATTTCTAGCAATATCTACGTTACCCGGGATTTGAGCTTTAATACACATTCATAAAAGAAACCCTAAAAAGGAATTTCATGCCTCATTCAAGGGTCATCTCTGAAAGACAAGCCCTTCCCCTCCCAACACGAACGTGGTTACACAGCTTCGCCCGCCCCGGAAGAGCTGGTGCCGGGCTTCCGCTTCAGGCCCACCAGGCACTTCCGCTTCCGCCGTCCGTCTGAGTGACGCGGAAGGTGCGCTTGGTCCTCGGCAGGCCTGGTCCATGGTCTCGCCCCGGCATGGCGGGCGGCGAGTTGCGGGCGGCGCTCGAGCAGCGGCTCGGTGACTTAGCCATTCACACCGAGGTCGTGGAGCACCCCGAGGTGAGCCGTTCCCGCGGCCAGCCGGGGCGAAGTGGGTGGCCAGTGCGGCGCGGCCGCGGAGACCAGCTGTCCCCAGGGTTCTTGTGGCCCAGAAGTACAGGTTCAAAATCTACTCCCGGGCTCCAGAATACGAAAGGGACCTGACAGGAGATTAGATTTGGGACTCCCCCCCCCCCCACCAAAAAAAAAAAAAAAAAAGCCAAAAGACACTGGGAACTCCAAATCCCATCCCCACCAAAGGGAAGGTGGCTGGGACCTGAGGGTGGGGTTAAGCAGCCAGGTTCGGTATAAAACCAGACACGAGGGCTTTGGGGGGTTCCCTTTTTGGCTCTCTGCTCGGCCAGCTCTCGGAGTGCCTTTGTGTTTCCAGGTCGGCAGAT